GTTGCTCCATGCTTCGCATTACAGAGTGCTTATCCGCTCTAGACTGGACTATGGCTCAGTTGTTTATGGATCCGCTCGGTCATCTGTTTTGTTAAAACTGGATCCTGTTCACCATCAAGTTTGCGGATTTGTTCAGGAGCTTTCAGGACTTCTCCTGTCCAGAGCCTATATGTTGACTCTAACGAACCATCACTTTATCTGAGGCGTGAACAATTGTCCCTTTTGCAATATTTTAATATTCTATCCAACCTGAACATCCAATAAGCTGTGCTTACTTGATAATGAGTGCAGTAACATTATTTGAAACACGTCCATCCTGTGTTCCTACATTTCCTTTAAGAGTTCGCCCTGTCATTGAGAACTTTCCCTCTCTGATATGCGCCCCCAAGCAGTACAGAACTTTGAAATCCCACCTTGGGAAAATTCACGGATTCAGCTTCTTGATGTTTTCAAACATCACGTGAAGGCAAGCACTAACGAGATCGTATACAGACGACTCTTCGCTGAGCACAGGCACAAATATAGCAGTTATCTTCCAGTCTATACAGATGGATCCAAGTCAAAAAATCATGTTGGGATGGCATTTGTAATTGAAGATCACATGGAGGGCAGACGCTTGCACCGTGATTTCTCTGTCTTAACATCCGAACTAACTGCGATATATTATAGTCTTTTGTACATCTCAAGGCTCTGCCACAAAAAGTTTATAATTTTTACAGACTCCTATAGTGCGCTTAAATCATTAGAAGCTTTTTCTAACACTCAAAATCCAGTAATAGTGGATATTCTTAAGTTACATATAAACTCTTAACTTAATAATATATATGTTGTGGATATGAAGTCCTGTACTGCTGGGTTCCCGGGCATGTGGGAATAAAAGGAAATGAGCTGGCAGATATCACAGCGAAATGTGCTGTTGAACTGTCCAGTCGCCTCATCCCTTTTGAGAAGACATCTGTTGTGTTGTGAAAAAAAAGATCCGAAAAAAAAATGGCAGCAACATTTGGGATGTTCAGCTTGTCAAAATAAATTAAGACATGTGAAAGCCTAGAATTGAGCATTGGGAATTAACCAGAAATCGTAAGGAGGAAGTTCTTTGACTCGCCTTCAGAATTGGTCACACTAGAGTAACATATAACTACCTTTTAAAAGCTGAAAATGAGCCTGTTTTTGTTCAAAATTGTAATGTTTGTCTATCTGTCCGTCATATTTTAATTGAGTGTCCATGTTTTAATAGTCTTCGCCAGAAATATTTTAATAGCTGTGACTTAACTCTCGACCGTTTAATCGGAAGAGAGGTCAATATTAATTTATTTTATTATTTAAAAGAGACTGGCTTTTATTATCTAATGTAATTTGTTTTGAAGACTTTGTCTTGAATTTTAATGTGTGCTTTTAACTTGTTTTTATATGACTTCATCCTCTGGATTTGGTACATTTGTCTACTTGTTTTTAATTATTGTATTTTAATTTCATCATTTGTAATCATCCCATCTCGTGTTTGGCGCGCTATAATCATCTTTGGTTTTGCGCCATAATCTCTCACTCACTCACTCCCTTTAAGAGTTCGCCCTGTCATTTAGGAACATTCTCTCTCTGATATGCGCTCCCAAGCAGTACAGAATTTTGAAATCCCACCTTGGGAAAATGTACGGATTCAGCTTCTTAATGTTTTCAAACATCACGTGAAGGCAAGCACTAACGAGATCGTTTACAGACAACTCTTCGCTGAGCACAGGCACAAATATAGCAGTTATTATCCGATATACACAGATGGATCAAAGTCAAATGATCATGTCGGGATGGCTTTTGTATTTGAAAATTACATAGAGGGCAGATGCCTGCACCATGCTTTCTCAGTCCTAACATCTGAACTAACTGCAATATATTATGGTCTTTTGTATATCTCAAAGCTCTGCCACAAAAAGTTCATAGTTTACACAGACTCGTATAGTGCTCTTAAATCCTTGGAAGCTTTTTCCAACACTCAGAATCCTGTGGTAGTGGATGTTTCTCAAAATTCATATAAATTTAACAATTCGAGGTTATGAAGTCTTGTACTGCTGGGTTCCTGGACGTGCTGGAATAAAGGGAAATGAGCTTGCAGATATCGCAGCCAAATCTGTTGTTGAACTGTCCAGTCGCCTTATCCCTTTTAGAGGTTTCTGCAGTGTCATCAAGGGAAAGGTCAGGAAAAAATGGCAGCAAATTTGGGATGTTCAGCATCACAACAAGTTGAGAAACGTCAAGCCTAGAATTGAGCATTGGGATTTTGCTGGAAATCGTAAAGAGGAAGTTCTTTTGACTCGCCTCAGAATTAGTCACACTAGATTGACACATAACTACTTTTTAAAAGCTGAAAATGAGCCTGTGTGTTTTAATTGTAATGTTTGTTTATCTGTTTGTCATATTTTAATTGAGTGTCCATGTTTTATAGTCTTCGCCAGAAGTATTTTAATAGCTGTGACTTATCTCTCGACTGTTTAATCGGAAGAGAGGTCAATTGCAATTAATTTTATTATTTAAAAGAGACTGGCTCTTACTACGTAATGTAATTTGTTTTGAAGACTGTCTTGAATTTTAAATGTGTGCTTTTAACTTGTTTTTATACTGATTTCATCCTCTGGATTTGGTACATTTGTCTACTTGTTTTTATTTATTGTATTTTAACTTCATCAATTGTAATCACCCCATCTCGTGTTTGGCGCATTTTTAATCATCCTTGGTTTTGCGCCATAATCTCTCACTCACTCTCTCTTTGTCTGCAAAATGCGAAGATCAAGTACGAAACCTAATCTCATATCACGTGACACAACTCTACCAACCAGCTTTTGCTGGAATGTTCGGACCTTGATTTGCTTGCAAGCACCACACAGTAGCCTCGTAATTATTGCTACATGATAATTTCAAGCATATCGTCTCTCCTGAATAATGCTATGCTAGCATTTGAAAGGTTACTTCTGCATTTGCTAGGGATGGGGCAGTAATGCTGAGATTTAGCTATTTTTAAACTGGTGAGTTTTTTTTTTCAAAAAAAAAAGTACAAATTTTGCATTAACACATATATGTTTTATTTATCCATAATGAATAATAATAATAGCTTCAAAGAACATAAAATATCTGGCCTATAATATTTTGGCTTGGTTTTACTATTTAAATGATTTAAAAATATGTGGGCAAGATCAAAACATGCTTAAGCATTCAGTTAAGTTTTCAAAGGAAGTATAAGTAGACTTCATGCACATTTAAAAACACAACATAACATTAATTTGTTCAAAAGAAACTGATCCAAAACAAATTCCATTTCAGCTAAAAATGATATTACTAAATCAAAGCCATCATAAATTACAGATGTTTTTTAATGGAAAAAATGACTGTTTCAATGAAGTTCCATCTACAATGACAGCATTAGATGGTTTGCTGTTCAGAATGTTTTGTACTTCAATTGAATTAAGAAACTCATTAATTGTAAAAGCTTTCTAAAATATATGAAAATCTGTTAATACTATAAGGAGAACTGTTATAAACTATAGTAAGAGTGTTTGCAGTTCTTTGAGGAAAGGGGCCCACCAGCGGCCAAGCGGTAAAGACGCTGAAAACTGGTATTTCGGTCCAAGGTTCGAATCTTGCAAATCGGCTGGCTGCATGGGCGTTTTCATGGTTTTCCCCATGTGTAACGTGTATACGAGCCAGTTTCCCTTAGAAAGGCCTCCACGAAGGCATCCCTCCCTTTAGGCAGATAGCCCTCGTGTACTTTGCCATAACTGAATAATCCAATCTTTTGGGGGGGGGAAATTAACAGAATTAAATGGTACAAAATTTTGTGTGGCATTTGATGAATGGACAAGTGTATGAAATAGATGTTACTTAAATATAAATATTCGTTGAGAAAAGGAAATTTAGAATGTAGGATAGCACTCACACATATCTCAGGAAGTACGCCAACTGTAAAATATGTAGAAGTAATTAATTGCAAATTGGAGGAACGTGGATTATCTGTGAAAGAAGATGTTGTTTGCATAACCAGTGATTAAAAGTTTGGGAAGTTGGTTGATACAAATCAGCAGTTATGCTCATAGAATTCAGATTAGAGTAATAAGTGTGCTATATCAACAAAATCAAAAACAGAAGAATTATATTTTTTAGGATTGCATTTCAAAATATGCAGTTATTAATTTTTTTTCTTTCTATTAATATATAATACACTACACAACAAGATTTCTATGTGATACTCTTCTTAATTATAATACTATATGTTTTGTTCTTTTATTGTATTTTAATACTGTAATCATTTATTTTTTATATTGCATTTTTTGTTTCTAATGTAAACTGCTCTTATTAATAATATTTGTTCCTTTATATTAAATGCATAACAAAATTTTTTATATTTTTATAGTTGATACATTTTTTGTATAAAACTAATAAATATGGTAAAGAAACAACAGCATTTAAAAAATTCCTAATACTAGTATTCTAGTACAACATTTAAAAAATACCAAATACCGGTAATGTACTTTTGGTCCAGTATTGCAACCTCAAAAGTCAGCAAATTAAAAGGAAAAAAATGATTGTGTAACTACATATCTCATAGCTGGCAATTAATATTTTAAATAAAAGATTAAGAAATTCACTGCTAATGAGTAATTTTATGTATTAAAAATGTTATTTTATGCTTTTCTCACAATTTAGCCTGATTTACAGTTAATTTTTCATATACTATTTTTTAATGACTTGAGCTTGATTCATTTGTGTTAACTTTGAAGATAAATTTTCATTTTTTGTATAGATATCTTGTATTTTTTGTTTTCGTATTTCAATTTAATTCCTTCAAAGAAAGTAATATGTATTTACAGTTTCATACTAATTTATCTTTTACCTTTTTTTTTTTTCCAAAACAAATTTAGATTACATAACAAATTGCTTTTTCTTTTCTATAATGTAAAAAAGTGTATTTGCCCATTACATAGTATATATACGTTTTATTAATTTCATGATTTAGGATGGTTTATGATAATGAAACAAGAACAACATCTAATTCTCCTGGTGTACATATTAGAGTGCCTGGTTTTGGCAACACTACGAGTATTGATTGGCTGGATCCTAGTCAGATATCACCCAGTATGTTTGTAGACTTTTAATTATTTTAATGTTAAAATTAGATAGCAGGGTAAAAATGTATTTTTAATCTCATATTTTTAGCTATTATCTTTAATTGCTACATTGTTTCTTAATTAATGATAATAACATCTGAACTGGGTATTTTTCAGTTAACCATGCCAAAATCTAAGGGAGTTAAGAAAGTTAAACTTAATATATTCTTCTTCTTCTTCACAGCCTGTTACAGGCCAAGGCTGTCTCTCTACGTTTCCTCCATCTGACCCGGTTAACTCCAATTAACCTTAAATCTTGCTCGACATCATCTATCCATCTAGTGGGTGGTCTTCCTTTTCGTCTTACTCCCTCAATTCTTGAAAAGGTTATCTTTTTGGTTGGAAATGCATCGTCATATCTAAACACATGGCCCAGCCATCTGATGCAAGATACCTTTATGATTAAGCATTTTGAAAGCTCCACATTTATATAAAGTTCTTGTATTCTATGACCCAAACCTTGGATTCGATTTCAAGCCAGGTTGTCGGGAACGTGTCAGTCCATTTCTGAATCAGAAATTTTTACGAGGCAAGGGAATTGGCCTTGCCCTCAACCCCTAACCTGGAATGCCAGGCCTCCAAATTTATAAACCCCATGGAGGCAGGGGTGCTCAGCTATACCCCCGGACACTGGGTACTCCTTTTAGTCGCCTTTTACGACATGCATGAGCTACACTGAGACTATTCTTTCACACACAGTCACCACATGGGTGACATAGGTGAATGGCAGATTAACAATATATACAACTTTATAAAAGGAATGGCATTTTAATAAATCCAAAATGAATGCCAAGGCCAATGCAGACATTCTAAGTTAAAAATTTTTCTAATCGGCAGTTATATGATGATTTATTCTTAGTTCTAGTTGACAGGATTATACTGCTGTGAAATCTTGACATCAAAAGTGAATATCAGAAAAGGGTTATGCAAGCTCTTATGAAGAATCTGCTCTATAGAGCCTCCCTCTCAAGGCACGGTCTTTCATAAGTTCAGTAGTAGTAGAAGTTCCATTTTATAGTTTTTTAAAACATAGCATTTCAAACTAGGATGCCTTTGTTGAATTTAATTGTGACTTAATAACAATCTTAATCTCTGATAATTGTGAATTCTAATTGAGAATTTGATCTTGGCTATTGGCTATTCGTGATTTGGCGTTTAATTCATGCTGCTAATTCTTTTTTTCCTTTTTCTTCTAGCTCTCCCTCTCCCCTTTTTTGAATTCTGATAAAATATCAGTATTTGTGGCGTAACGTTAATGTATAACTTGTATGGTGGGGGGTGGAGGGTTAGAGGATCACATTTTATGTAATTACTTTTCTGTATATAACTGTTGTGTATCACATTGGTAGCTTTATCAGTTTTGGAAAAATATGAAAAGTTTTTATTTAAAAAAAATGCAAACAAATCATTACTGTGAATGATCATGTACTTAAAAAGTACTTGCAACAGGCATAATTTTATTTGTGGATCCATAAGACCTGAATTTTCTACTACACACTTTTTTTTATTGTACTTAAGATTTATTATTATTTTATTGTACTTTTATTTCCAGATCAACTTACATTTCTCTAAATTCAGTTTCTTCTTTTCCTTCATGAGGATCTAAATATTTTGGCCATTTAAAATTGGTATTTTCTGTATGTAAAATTATGTAAAAGGAAATGGTCATCCAAACATATAAGTAATTCATAATTCTTAAATTCTAAAGCTGCGTTCACACCAACGCAGTTACGTGTTTGCATGCAAAGCGTTAACCAATCAGAAGCGAGTTCAGAGGCGGCAATTGCCGGATGGCCGGAGACCGCGTGAATTGATTCAACTTCAACTTTTTGACGCTTGATGCGTCAGTTTCAGGCATCTCGTTTCAAACCTCCAGTTTATACTGTGATTTTCAAAAATTATTCTTTATCTAATCTTAATAAAAATTTCAGATTAAATAAAAAAATGCATACGCTAATAGAATAAATAGCTTTATAAATTATTTAAAGGAAAATTCTCAATTTTATTAGTAGTAATAAACCGTAATAATAAACCATAAATGATACATGCTTGATTATTAATTTTAATAAACTTAATTTTAATAATCTAAAGCAATAGATTGTTGCAAGAAAATAGTGATGGATTTCAAAATCTCAGATTCTGAATTTTTCTTAAAAATATATCTACATCAGTTTAAGGTTGCTCTTGTTGCCTAGTGGATAAAACGTTGGGTTCTTGAGTTAAGGATTTAGGATTCAAGCGTCACCAGAGTGGTTTTGTAAAGGAATTGGTATTTTTTTAAAAAATATTTACAGAAAATATGGCTAGTTTCATAGTAGCCCAGATGCTTCTTCAGTTTCCTGAACTAAAATATTTTTAAAAAAAAATGATGTTTGTTTATCAACTTATAAATAACTGCTTTTTTTAAGTGCGATATTTAATTTAGTAATGCTGTAAATCCTACATATATTTAAACAAAATATACTTTTTATTGCATTATTTAAACCAATTAAGGGAAGTTTATACATCATGCAAAAACATTTATGGTATTCTACCACATGAAAAATTTACAATCCAAAATAGAATCATGCAATTAGGATTTTTTAATTATCATTCAACAAAATTCATAAATAAATTAAATTAGATATATAAGCGTTTGATATATACAACGATCCTTTTCTGGGATATCCTATTCTTATAGTCCAAACAATTCTTTTCTGGAATATTCTGACAAAAATTAGTGTTCTGCTTTTGAATAAATAGTTCAATGAGCGCTAGAAATTCATTGAATTGATGAGGTGTCATGCAAAAGTAATTAAAAGAAATTTAGTTCCGTTCAAGCGCATTTCTTCAATTAAATTATTTGCATCTCCTTACTGCAGTCATCTCTTACATATTAATATAAACCACTGCATTCTGTTTCTCTTACACAAAGCAAGAAGTAAAATAAGTTTTAATCGAGAAGAAATTAAAATCCATTTTAATTTTAAAATGTAATAAATAGTAAGTCAAAATACCACACAAAAATTTTACGTTTTTCCCCCAAGTTTCTGACATGAAGAGGCATCTAGTGCGAGCATATGACAACTTTTAAAATGAAAGTTGCCGCGCTGGTGTGAACTGGCGTACACGGAAAACATTTTTTGACGCTTGATGCCCGAACGGACCAGTGTGAACGCAGCTTTACTCTGTTAATATCTCCTTAGGTCATAATTAACAGACTTTAACTAAATGCCAAATTTTAAAACATATTTTACTATATATTAACTTCAGAGAAATCTCTCTGAATCTTGGTTAATAAAAATCATTTTAATGTTGATCTGCTTCTATATTAAACTATCCAATTGATCTGTAAGCATTTATCCCCTAGTAGTGTCAAATCAACACTTTGAGTTTAAATTAATCTTTTTTTGGACTCTTGTTCTATATATTTATCATTTAATAAATATAATCATGCAGTTGTACATCTGACAATTTTATATTCAGGTGCGTATTTTGTGAACATCATTGATATGCTAGTCACGCAAGGTTATACAAGAGATGTAGATATTCGAGGTGCTCCATATGACTTCAGGAAAGCTCCAAGTAAGTTCATAGACTGTTAATTTAATAAAAAACTTAAAAAATTACATATTATCTTACTATTATGTTTTTTTTTTTTATTCCTATATCAGTACTATTTGAAATTGCACCTGATCAATAAATATTTGATAGTTAGGCCCTCTTTGGTTTGTTGTTCAAAATGCCAACATTTTAGAATGTGGCATTACCTTTTTCAGAAAAATTAAAACTGTATATAAGAAGTTTTAAACTATATAAAATAAGTGAGAAGTAAAGTATGTTTCTGAAATGTGATGTAAACCACCGAAATTTCAATTTAAAAAAAATTCAACATAGCAGATTTAACGGCAGGTTTTCTTATATATATGTATGTGTGTGATGATTTGGGAATGACAAAAATAGATGTTGAAGTGCACATGGTTGATCCAGAATGAAGAAGAAGCTTTGAAGTCATACTCATAGCATATTTAAATCATATTTCTTTTATTGTAGTGAAACATTTTGTGGCTGCAAATGCTTGGCACATTTTTCACGCCTGTTTTGGAAAAGTTACATTTTTCATTTTGTTGCAGTAGGAAAAAAGTAGTAAAATACATCTTAATGAGAACATAGGTAGAAGCGAAATCCATAGTTACCAAGAAAAAGTTCCAGTTCTCGAAAATTTTGAGCAAGTTCTGAATTAGCTATGTCATCAGCATTATGTAAGTCTTATGTATGGATTGATCTAAAAATGACCCAGAGCAGAAAAAGGTATTTTAGAATAGAGTCCAAATTAAAATTAAGCGTTAAGGGACTGTTGTTAATTTAAATTTATATTTACATATATTTTTATACATTTCTTACACACACATATATCTGGTTGTAACAAAAGTTTTCTGCCAAAAAACGTTCTTAATAAAATTAGAAAAAAAGAAAACATGAAAGCACTACCTTTAGTGCAGGTATCTATGATGTTCTGTTGTTCCAAATCTATGGTATTCTGCCAACGCTTTAGTAATTTTTCTAAACCTTCAGCCCAGAAACTTGGGGGTCTCAGGTCCAAAAACATTTGTCAACCTCATTTTGGACGCCCTGTGCAGAATGGAAGATAGCATCAGCAAGATGTGGCTGCAGGTGTGAAAAAAGGTAGAAGTCTGAAGGAGCGATGTCAGGGCTGTATGGTGGGTGTGGCAAAAGATACCATTCACAGGCTGCACACAGTTCAGCCTGTGAATGCAGACACACATCGTCTTGCATCTCGCTGCACACCTTACTGTTGAGGGTTTTAGCTTTTTCCACAAACTGTTTGTGGATAATGCCACTGCAATCCCACCAGATGCAAAGCATGATCTTTTTATTAATCAAATTGCATTTTGCGATGCTGCTGACGGGCTCACATGGCATAGACCATCCCCCTTTTCAACCTGTGTTGAAATAAATCCACTTTTTATCACTAATGACCCTATCCAGAATTTTGTCCTTTTGTTGATATTCAAACATATTAGTGCAGGCCTGAACATGTCTATCCTTATCTGCTCGAGTCATTTCTTGTGGCACTCAGCGATTGAACTTGTACATCAAGTATAAACTTGATGTAGTAAAAAAGTAATTTAAAAAAAAAAATTTGAAAAGTAATTTACTTTTAGAGTACGTACTTTAAAAGTAATTTCATTAGTAAATATACAAGTTTTTTATAAAATGTGTTCATACATTTTTACAAAAGAATTGCATTTTTTACCTTAAAAACATTTAACTTTCCTTTATCCTTAATATCTGCATTGAGTTTTTCAATTTTAATAGCAGTTTTATTTTTTAAATAATTGTTTTTAAAAAGTGTAATTTTGTTTACTATAAATCTTCATTATCTAATTCTTAAACTATGAATTTGGTTTAATTAGTTAACTTATGGGCAAAAAAATATAAAATGGATATAAAATTTTAAGACAAATGCAATTAGTCAAAAAACATAACATTAAATTTAAACTTAAAATAATGAGTCAAATATTAAAGTGATGTATCTTGCATCAAAATCATGTTTAATGACCATAATAAATGGACTTAACATCGAATTTGTCAGTGGAGTGTCTTTGAAGCAACATCAATGCATAGTACAGAAAACTCCCAGTTTTTCTTATTTTGAGGTATGTAAAGTAATTTAAGATAAGATATAGAAATATCTTTTTAATATTTAAAAATTTTGAAAATGCTTGTAGTTATACTTTTTTAAAAGGTAGTTCACAAATATGAACTACCATTTAAAATAGAAATAGAAATAGATTTAAAATAGATAGGTATAGCACTTATTTTTAGATTCTTGACGCATTTTTTAATTATTTTCAGATGAAATGACAGATTATTTTAAATGTCTTAAAAATTTAACAGAAGATACATATGAAAAAAATTCTCAGACCAAAGTTACTTTTATCTGCCACAGCATGGGCTGCCCTATCATGAGCTACTTTTTTAATCAGCAGACACAAGCTTGGAAAGATGAATATATAAAAGCATTGGTTTCACTTGGAGGAGCATGGGGAGGTGCAGTGAAAGCTATGAAAACATTTGCATCAGGTGTGGTATTATTAGGTTTGATATTATTTCATTTTTTTCTTTTTTATATTAAAGTGTTGAAAATTATAATCGTGCTTTACTGCTGCTCAAAATTATCTTTACAACTCATAAAACTAATACTTCATGAAGTAAGTAATTAGTTAATTTTTCTATGGAATGAACAAAAAGGCTGATTGACTTATTATTATGCAGTGCAAACTGATTAATCTATTTCTAAAAATAAAATAAAAATCTGAAAAGTTTCAGATTTTAAATTATGTCGAAAGGGGCACTTTTTTTAACATTTCTGTTACTTTTATGTATTAAATATCATGTTCTTTGCACACTTAAGCAGCAATATCGCAAAATAGTTTTAAATTGAGCATAACTTTAGAATTTCCGATGCAGAGTCTCGCCACGTCGAAGATAAAGATGTTTTTTCTTTGCAATGTTTCCATGGCTTGCTTTGAAATCCTTGAGTTTGTTAATCAAAAGTTTGTTAAAGATTTATAAGATATGAAATCGATAATAAAATAAATTTTAAATTTGGGCTTCCACATGCCCATATTCGCAGTAGGATTACGTCATTCAAAATTTGATGGCTTACATACCGTTGTTTTATCACAATGCCAAAAATATATACATTGAGAAATATACATATTTTCATTATGTAATTTCTTCAAATATAATGCAGGACTCTTAACATTTGGTGGCAACAGTTTGAAAAGTGAAACAGACATTTATAGTGAATCAACGCAAAATCGCAAAATGAAAACAGTCCTTCTGGGATGAAGCCCCTTTGGCCTAAAAAAAAAAATTATGGTGTGATGTCATCCAGAGCTATAAGAAGCAATTTCTCAAAGTGTCATTTTGTTTTTCGACACATTTTTAGTTTGATTTCAATGTTTATCAAATCTGAATTCCTGAATATCATTTTGAAGAACCTTTGAGGTGGAGAGCTGTTAGGCATTTAGAAGCAGGGGGGTCAATTAGAGAATTGTCAAAATAGTTGAATTTTTTAATATGACTGTACTCTGGAAACAATTTCAGATTTTAACTCGTACTGAAATTAATGCACAAGAAAAAGAGCAGGTTTCTTTGTTAGTCATACAAGAACTACCAAGCAGCAGCTGGACCAGGTGTTATCAAAGCTGAGCTATTAAATATGAAATGAAACTCACTAAAGCAATTCATTATTACATTATTTGTGACATATGGACACATGAATGAATGCCTTCTGAGTGGAACGAAGGGTCTGTTTGTTCTATTTATAAAAACGGAGGCAACTTGGAATGTTGTAATTACTGTATTGAATACAGCATATAAAATCTTCTCCACCATCCTTTTTAAAAAGATTGCAGAGATATATTTCTAAAATTATTGAGAACTACCAACTACCCCCTACTATTACTACTACTATTGGGTTTTACAAAATGGAAGAACGATGATTGATCCAATACACTCTATCAGAAGAAATTTTGGAACAAACAGCGGAATATAACATTGACACCTATCATCTGTTTATTGATTTAAGCTGCATAATACAGTTTAAATAGAGAAAGATTACTTGGAGCTATGCTGGAATTTAACATCCATAGGACGCTGATCAGTCTTACAAGGATGACACTTAAGAGTATAAAATGCAGAATTGTTTCCTTTTTTCTCTGAGCCTTTTTATACTGAGAAAGGTCTGCCACATGAAGACTCATTTTCTTGTCTGATGTTTAACTTGCCACTGGAAAAGGCCGTGCGAGACTTCCAACTAAACATAAGTCGAATAAAAGAACAATTCAACTACTAGCTTTTGCCAGTGTCATTGATATCATTGGACAATCTAAAAAAACAGAGAGTAAGCTCTAAATTCTAAAAGTTTTGCCATTTCTAGATTTTGTTGTTCGGTGTGTCGCTAAATTCTAAAAATTCTGGCACGTGGCACATCAGCTCGGTAACCGGCCTTTACCATATGTATGTCATATTTCTTTTGAATGTTCATATTACTAAAGAAATAAAATTAGCCACCTTTTGTATAAATTCTAAATGAATTAAATGTTTTTTAGAACAACAGAAATCCTTAATTAAATCCAAAAATTCTAAAATGAAACAGAAACGTGTTAAAGAAATTAAATACATAAAGAAAATTATTCTTCAAAGATATGTGCAGTTATTATTATGTAAATTACCAAATAGTTTATGATTTGAGCCTTTACTATAATTTCCCACTTTTATTTCCTCATATGATAGAGTTACTGAGCCAAATTAAATTGTATAATCTTCAACCACTAGTCCACATTATTAGTTTGAATTTGACTGTTCTTGTTTAATTACGTCACCGTGAGCTGTAATTGATTTTGTTAGCATCAGAAAATGCCTTTATGTTCTAAGTTCGTTTTAAATAAGAAGCTTATTTAAACTTTTCTCTGATATTGTAAATACTTTCAGATATAGCGATAATATGCTTCCAATCTGTCGGGGGTTTCGAACTATTTAACTTCTACCAGATCAAGTAAACCCTTATAGGTAACAACATTGTGGAGAGGTTGACAAGTTAGGACATAAAACACGCAGAAACTAGCGAGAGCATTGGTTTGAATAGTGAGACAAATCTTTAATTGTTAGAAAAGATGCTTAAAGAGAAGGAAATCAATATAAAGTAGCCAAAATGTTTGGGAAGGCTTCAAATTAAAATGATGGATAAATATTTTTTTAGAGTTGTTGTTACAAGACATAAATGTTTTGTAGCTTTTAAAGTGTAATTATCCTAATGTCATAAATTACATGTATTTTAAACATAAAATGTTATTAGATTTTGATTTTAATAGTGTTTTTTTTAACGAATATTGTTAAAAAATAAAATTTAATAGTGGCCATGTAAATCCATAATGACTAAGGTTATCAAACTACCTAATTTAATTATTTATAACTAACTCCTTACCCTTAAAAACTATCTTTACATATTAAAGTGAGCTATTGCCTTTCATTAATACTCACTGTGGTCACAAGATAAAATGTAAAAATTCAAGTAAAACATATTCTATGCATCTACTGAGACTTAAAATAATACAAAACAACTCATCACCTCTGGTGCTTTAATGGCTTATTGGAACCTTAAAGTATATAACTGGGTTACAACCCCTGGAACTGTACACAAAGCTACGACACTAACTGCATCAAACAGAGCCTGACTAACTTTCAACACATGCCAACCGTGCCTACGTCAGGCCTTTCAGGTTTGTTCTAATCAGCAGGTCTCTCTGTAGACAAGCAGCAGTGGTGACAACATTCAGTTTTTCGTTAAGAATCATGCTGATTATGATCTTGCTTCTCATTTTTACCTATGCAGTTTGACATAAAATCTACCTGCTATTTACTAAACCTCTAGACTGACCAAGTATGTGACAAAATGAGACATAAAAAAAATCAACATAAAGCTAACTGTTAGTAAAATGTAAATGTCACTCATTTCTTTCAAATATGTCCAACTATTATAAGTGTAAAATATTTAATGCTACTTGATAAATTGCATAAAGTTTATTTTATTCTCAAACTTATTAATAATTATGTTAATTAGTTCATGTCTAGTAATAATGCATACTACTTAGGGATCTATTTCATTTTTAGGATGGTATTACAAAAGTGAAATTCGGGCATGGATATTTTTAATTGAATTTATTGAGTTCCCATTTGCTCATAGGTCCTTAATTTTTTTCATTAATGGTCCTTAAAAGTACTTAATTACTGTGTGAAGAAATGTGTACGAACCCTGATAGCCATTGGTTCAACATAATTTTATTATTGGGTAACTCATTTCTTTAGCTGCATAATCTGACACATTTATGGGTGCAATATGCACCTCAAAATTCTTGGAAACTTGCATCTTAAAACTGTGGATGATAGATAGAATCGAGCAGCAACATGTTACTTTGATGCAGGCAAGCAGAAAATGTATAATGAATTCAAAAGAAGGAAAGATAAAAATACAAGATAATGCATATAAAGCTGCAAATTTTAAACAAAGAGGCTTCAGTTGAAATCTTTAATCTGATTGGCTATAATACACCTGCATTGTAGGGTTATATAAGAAAGGTGATGCAGATTAATTTTGAAATGATACTCTCTAAATTGATATATTATAAAGTTACATTTTTAGGACAGATAGGGGAAATGTCCAAATTACAGTGAAGAGTATAAGGGGCTTTTACCAATTTAAATTAGAAGTTTGTTTTCATATTTTTTAGACTAATATATTTAAAAAAAGTAAATTAAATATTTAGAGAATACTCTAATTCACAGTATTTAAATTATTTTCGTAAAATTATGTACCTTATCTTAAAAAAAGGTTTGTAAGTTAAAATGCATATCTGTTCAATATTCAGCGAAATAAATGTCAGCATTTTTTTTCAAATTTCTTGCATATATTGCAATTTTTTAAAATATAACATTATTTTAATTATTCAAAGCAATTTGAATTGAGCCAATTTCCTTTGTTATCTGCAATTTAAAATAGACTTAATACTTTTAGATAATAAGCCATGCTTTACAGCTTAGATATTTTTCGTGGCTTTGCAATTTAAATGTTTTTGTATATTTTTAACATTTTAAATTATTAAAACAAAAAAGTTTTTCTACCAATTTACAGTATTTGTATTTTGCTCTAATATTTTCCTCTTTTCATTTTGTAGGAGAAAATCTTGGTGTTTTCGTTATAAGCCAGACAAACGTACGTAAGGAACAACGTACATGCCCCAGTCTTTCTTACATGATGCCTTCGGACTTACTTTGGGGTAAAGATGAAATCTTGATGATTACAGCAAATAAAAATTACACTGTATCTAACTATTATGAATTTTTTCAAGATATTGATTTTCCTATTGGGTATGAAATGTATAAAGATACATATAAATATGCAAGAACTGGCTTGAACCCCCCTGGTGTTGAAGTGCATTGTCTTCATGGCTTGAATGTGACTGATACTGTTGTCAAGTGAGTTAGTTATCTTTACTATAGTGTTTCAAAATGAAAAAGAAATATTTTTTAAATACTATTTTTTTTATTTTTTTACATAGTTCTTAAAAATTTTTCCTGTCTTCTTGTTCTGTCAGAGTGAATATTGGATCATTTTTAAATAGTAGTGTGTAAAGTTGTTCCCTTATCTGTGGCACACATCTGCAAAGGGGAATGGGGGGAAATGAAAAAGCTCACAGAAATTTCGAAGTTCTGCAGTGGAAACCAAGTGACTGTGGGCATAGCTGAAATGCATGTTAATTATAAGTAGAATCAATTCTATATGTACATTGGCTGAATTTAGATTAGTGTGTAGTTTATCTAGTATACCAGTTTTTAGGTTCACTCAAGAGGTTATCAGACTTCTCTGCACATGAGAAAAATCTGATTATCTGAACAGAAGAAGCTATTTTAAAGAATGAAGCATATTTCATATTTATTGGATCTTTATTTACTTCTTTCATTTATTTTCTTTAGCATAAGTTGCATAATAACCGGGCAATTCGGCTAGTGGAGGAGACTGATATTTTTAGTTCTTTACAAATTAAACAAAAATATTAAAAATTGAATGGGCAAGCATCTTTAGAATTTCCAGTGCAAAAAATTTTTTTAAAAAAGTGCATTTTAGTGCCTATAATAGATAAGAGTGACATTATAAGATACTCATAAGCTTTTCAATTTGGAAAAACATAATTTTCATTTTTTCCCATTGTTCTGCGAGTAAAACCTGTATCTAATATTCATGCATTCATACATATTTCATCTTTTATATCCTTATGTTAAAAAATTTCACACAAAATGCATGTATAGATATTATTTGAAATGTAAGAAAGAAAAAATTAATCTTTGAAGTAACATCTATTGGAATACAGAAATTTCCTGTTGTGCTTCCTTTCCTGGTAAAGCATTAGGAGAAAGTTTCTTTTGATATTTGCCGTAAACTAGACTTTTTTGGATAATTTGAATTATGTAAAAAGTGACTTTAATATTTCACTGTATGTATTGTTTGAATTTTCTGAAATTACTGACTCCAAGAACCAGCCCTCAGTGGTTAGAGTGGAAGAGGGACCAGAAACCACAGTACTGAAAGTGAGAAAAAGTGTTTTTTTTTTTTTTTTTGCATGTTTCGGATTTGTCCTGTAGTAAGAATTCTTTAACAGGTGAATCCATGTGATTTTTTGAAGGGAGAATTGATTTGATGCATAAAAACACGAAATCTGTACTGCTCTCACTGGGATTTGAAATTCTGGACCTACCAATTGCTAGGCAAATTAGCTTCCTATTACACCATGAAGGCATGTGGTAAGGAGAGAGAAAAATCCTTTCAATTTTTTTTATTTATTGCTCATATGCATAACCACTTACATGTAGTATGCAGTGGCATAGAGATACTTATGTATATCATTCTGATGATTACAGGGAAAAACACACTTCTTTGATCAAAAGATGCTGTAAATCCATTTGCATTACAGTATGCTATGCTCTTCTGAATGGTGTTATGTATATCTTCTACAAAGAATATTAAGCCAGCCAGATTTAAGTTTTGTAAATTTCATGTATGCGACATGACTTTTCCACATTATGTTTAGGTATACAATATATATATATAATGATTTGTTTTTCTTAAGTTGGATATTATATTCTAAAACACATTTAATCTTTAAATGAAAATTGTTTGCGTCCCAGCTACAAATAATGGTGTTAAAGTTTTGCTGAAAAATCAGAACTAAAAACTTTTAAATGTTTTCCTATGCAAATTTGGCAATGTGTTGTTAAAATCATGTCTATTAATAAAATAAATGTGCACGAACTATTTTGTAATTTTTTTGCTTTTTGCAGGCTGGATTTCCGAAATACATCCCACTTTCCTGATAATCCAAAATTAATTTATGGTGACGGAGATGGCACAGTGAATGTTAGAAGCTTACAAGCATGTTTGCAATGGCAAGGCAAGCAAAAGCAAAAAGTAAACCATGCTGCAGTATATAATGTGGATCATATGGGAATATTGGCAGATGCTCATGTCCTGGAATACATCAAGAATGTCGTTCATCAGTGGTGATTTTTGATTTTCCAGACTTCTGACTCGTATGTGCCTTTCCTTGAGAATATCTCCTAGTTCAGAATAACATGCAAAATTTTATTTAGGTAAATTTTGTTTGCAGCATAAAACAAGGTTATGCTTTTTATTTATTTTTAATAATAAATTTAGGTAGGATTGTAAATATATATATATATATATTTATATTTTCTAAATGCCTAGTAAGGCAATAGTAATTCAAAAGTCAGAACTATGTCTACAAGACTGATCATATCACTAGATGGCAGTATTAAAGTGTTATTTTATATCATGAACAATCATTTTCTGCACTTCTCAATAACTAATTGGAACAATACCACATTAAAGTAACATTTCTTCAGTTTCACAACTTCACGATAATTTCGGTATGCAGTTGTGCCACTTGCCTGAAAATCTTGTTAAGTCAGGGAAACGAAAAGTGGCTTTTAAAAGAAAAGTAACCTACAAACAGTTGTTTTTATAAGCAAGGAAATAAAAGAGTTCTGTAATGTTCTGTGTTGCTCTTGCTTCTTGAAAGTATTTTACTTAGCTGAAACAATTTTATAGACCCATTATGCTGTTCTTCATGTATTTGTTTAAAGTAGCATTATCACTTTCATATTTCTTTGGTGTGTGTCTCTCTTGTTACCAAGTGGTTCTCATACTTGTTTTGTTTGAATTGTATTAGTTCACTGTTTTTACCAGAGACTTTTTTTACAAAAAAATTATGTGGCATGAAGATTTTATTTCAAAAATGTTATTTCTGCAAGGGGGAGAAATCCTTATCATTAATTATATTAAATAAATTTTAAACAGAAAAAAAATTAAGTTATTTTATAACTCTTGAAATAATTATTTTCATTACCCCATTTCCTCGGATTTAATATTCACTCTTCAAATAATTGCATTTAGAATGAATTCTGTTAGTTCATATAGTATTTCTTTAAATTGCTTTTTTGTATATGTTAAATATGTTGAATATTTGAGTTTTCATTATTCAATACATATTAATGTGTGCAGCTGTATGTAAATATAAAAATAGATATTTTAAAGATCTTTAAAAGTAGAAAAGTTATTTACTCATCTAGTAGAAAAATCCAGAGTGCCTATAAGGGTGGCACAGAGGTTGCCATTTCTTAATTACGAATAAGCATTTTGCATGTGACAAAACATCATACTGCCTTATACATAGGCTCACAAGTTGAACCTCGGACCGAACTACCAGCGTTTATCGCTCGGCCACTGGTGCACTGTGTTGTGTTCTACATTCTTAAAAAAAAAAAAAAAAAAAAAAAAAAAAAAAAAAAAAAAAAGAGGGGGGGGGTGTCATAAAATATGCTTTTTATTGATTTTATGTCTTTTTTAGTAATTTCAAATCTTGTTTTCTACTTGTTACTTCATAAATCCAATAAATAAATAAAATGATAAAAATGTTAAATGAAGTCAGTAACTTATAAAAATAAATTACATTTAATTAACTTTTTATTATTAATTCAATGAATGGCAGTGTACTTACAAACTGATAAACCATTTTATTTTGAAGAAAATATTTTCCAAAAAACCAGGTCTACGTTTCTTCTTGGATTAGTGATATAATGTTTAGTTCATAGTTTTCAGTATAATATAAGTAATATCTAATATTGCAATATTTTACGATTTTTTTGTAAAATTATTGACAAAGATGCACATTATTCAAAAAATTTACTGAGCTGCGAATGAGTAGATTGAATGTATTTAAGGTATGCGAAAGCTGCAAGTTAGGTATGTTTTTTAGACTTTCTTGCTGTTTTCATTGACAGTAGATGTAAACTCATTAAAAGAGTTTATTTTAACTGTACAGTTTCTTATAATGTTATTCTCAAATTGCACACATACTTGTGATTATACAAACTTTTGTGTATTATACCAAAGTCGCCATATAATAAATTTAGATTATTGAAAACGTTTATTAGTGTTCTGTACTTTTTAGACACATATATTTTACAAGTGCTTTGAGTATTACATTTAATAACAAACAAGATTAAATTTTGCTTCTTATTAGATAAGTACTTATTTATCAGGTGCTGGTACTTAACAAACTTCACAGATACAAACAAACCAGTTCTCAAAGAGTGAAATTTGTTCCTGAGTCGAAAAGAAAATATTAAAAATTATTTGTGAAAAGAAAAAAAAAAAAAAAGTGTCAATTCCATTTGAAACTAAAATCGTAAGTGGTGAGAAAATGGTGAGTGCTACATGTTCGAATATGAATCTTTCTCTCAGAATAACTCTTGAGAACAAAAATTGCATGCTTCAACATTTTAAAGCTACGATGCCTGTGGAATTGGTAGTTTTCTGGGGGAAGTTGGCTGTACTGATGCATCTCAAAGAGCCGTGAAATAAGTCAATCACCATGAGGTTTGGTTTGTTTCACACTAAGTTTTCAAAAATCTCAGGCAGATTTCAAGAAATATATATACTTCATTTTATTAAATTATTTACAAAAGTAAACATATATTACAAATGATACACACTGTTTACATTTCTATATATTATATTTTTGTTTAAAAATAAATAATATCTATAAAATTTATAAGTACCCGAAAACAGTGGTCATGTGCTCTACTTCCTTAAATACTGATCCTAGATATAAGTTTCCAATTATAAAATTACAGCAGAAAAGGTATTGAATGTACTGAATACTCTCAGTACTTTAGGTAAAATGGTTTAATAAATGTAAAAGCTAATTTAGCTGTTAATTTCAAGTAAATTAAGATATTTCAAGTAATTTAAATGAATATTTATTATATGAAATGAATGATTATATAAAGAAACAAACCAATCTAGAAAATTATGCAGTACAAAACCTGAAATCCAAATGTCCTGTATCTAGAATGATCTAATATGTCGACCACCAACTGGAAAAGCTACAGAGCTAGGGTAGCTGGTAAAATTCTTGCACAAGAAATAATCTCCCACTGGACTATGAAGTTGGGAACTCAATCAAAACTAGCCTGAAGGAAATTTGGACTTGGTTAGACAAGACTTTTTGCACTTTGTCTAAATCAAATAATCCAATTCAATCAAAATAAATCAGTGCATTATTTTTGCGATAAGAAAAGGGATTGGTACTTTTTGTATTGGTTTAATTTATTTTCAAAATATAAAGTTCCAATCAGTAATAGGAATTTACAGAACCTTTCCACTAACAGTGTTGTAATTTTTCATGAAATGTTCTTTACTTTTTTAGAAGCCCTTGTAGAGTCATTAGTTTTTTGAGACAGGAGATGGGAAAAATGTGCAATGACCACACCAGGACATATCGAGTATGCTTTCAATTACACCACAAAGAAATGTGGACAGGGGGGAGAAAATACCTTATACTCTAAAAACAGAAATCCAATTAAGTTTTCTTAAAATGAACACCACAAACCCATCTGGATGTTCATAGTCTCATCTAAGGGAACTTAGACGACCATAAACCTCCAAATAGGTTTGTAGAGATAATGTTTGTCCTTTTACTCTTAAAGAAAAACCCAGGCTTCATGGTAGTCAGAAGTGGTCATCAAGAAGATGTACATAGAATCAATATTAAGACATTAAAGCACATCAATCACTCTTTTTTTTTATAATATATATAGTAGTATTACCATAAAGTCTTCTGAGAAACTTATAACCTGCTCACATTTTGCCTTTTATTAGAGCATATTTTAATCATAATTTAAATCAAAAATTGATATAGAATAACAAAATAATCTTTCCTGATAGGAAAATTGATATTTTTGTAATGGCTGGATTATGATATAACAGTTTAGTAGCTTTTAGTAATTGCCTGCACTCCTTGCTGTACAGATGAAGATAAAATCCTAGTTTTGTATTGTGTACTTAGACCAGTCATCCAAAATTTTAATACCTATAAAAGTAATAAATTTACACATATGTTTTCTTCACAATTTAAAAAAAATTAACTTCTAAGACACTGAACTTACCTGTTTATCATGTTCCTGAGCTCCAAGAACTGTTAATAATTTATTAGTTTCCTCTGGGCTGTGTTGTCCACCTCGTGAATATGCAAATAAAACTTTTACTTTGCTATAAAAAAAGCACATCTGTATTAAAAAACTTAATATATTTTAATAAAGAATGATATAATTTGCCTCATGTTTATAGAATTTAAAGTAAAGAATAAGAACATATAATTAACTATAATATGAATCTACAGATTTCAAAGTACTAAATGATTTTGTATATATAATGAACAGTCTTCAATTTAGCTTAGCAATAAATGAAAGTACATAATATATAGCATTTAATTCTGAGGTGAAGACAGAGCAGGCGCCATACAGTCATTTACCCTCCATGTGGTCTTCAATAATAAAGGATGCACCAACATGTTCTACTGCTTCGACCCATCCATATACAAGGGAACCTAACTAGTGTATTTGCACCTGTGGTTAGAAAAAAGTTGTCTGTACACAAATTCGTTAGTATCTTTCTTCTCAAAATGCTGGAAAACACCTAGAAGCCGAAGCCGAGCATCCTCCCAAGGTGAGATTTCAAAATGCTTTACTGTCTAGATAGTGAGATCTGTCAAGTTTTCTCGATTAGAGAATTAATCCTAAGTGAGAAATAAGGCATATGGGATGGTCTGGCCTCAAACAAGAATTTGTAACAGTCGTCAATGAAAGGAACATGGTTTGGATGGACAGGAAGATACATAACATTGAAATAGTAGCAGAGAGACCAAATGCTCACATCTTAACTGAAGCGATGACTCTTGGTAGTCATAGAGACTCTCTTCTAACCGCACCAGAAGATATATGCAGTGCCTGATTTGATGAACAGGATCTAGTTTAAGTAACATGGAAGGCCGCAGAGAACCCCGAACCGTAATCAAGTTTACAGCATATACAGTGGTGGCCAAAATTGTGGACACTTTTGGAAATTTTTATGTTTTTGAACTTTGCATGCTTATAGAAAATGTTACGTTTCACAAAATGCAAACTTCTATATATCATTTTAAAGTGAATTTATTACTGAATTCAATACAAAACACAAAATTCAATTATTTGCAATAAAAAAAAAAGTTATACATACTTTAATATAAATAAAAAACACAGTTATGAAGTGGTTTGTAATGTCTAGCTTTCCTGGTCAATCACTGTTCTTGTTCTGAGAACCAATCAAATGTTAGTAACTGCCAGTAGAAGCTGACATCATGTTTACACTTGAAACAATTCATTATTTTGCTTTGTTCTGTAGAAGGAGGACCTGTTTCTTAAACACTGCAATTACAAGTAGGAATTTTTGTAAAAATTTTTTAATATTTAGTCAAGAAGCAATGACATCAAATAAAAAGAGTAGATTGGACACCTAGAAAGAGATGTAATATTATTGTGTTACGAGAAAGTGGTCTTACCTATGCTGAAATTGCAAGGCGGGTGGGTGGTTCAGTGACTACATCTGGAGTCCGAAAGTTTTGTTTACAATATCAGGAGACAAATTCAATAAAAAACAAAGAAGGAAAAGGCCGGAAAAGGTGCACCATATCTATTGATGACAGAAGAATAAAAACACTATGTCTCCAAGATAGAAAAATGACATCAACGGCCATCAGAAGTGATCTGAATGATGCTGGTGTTTCTGTCAGTTCAAGAACAATCAAGAGAAGATTAACAGATGTTGGACTGAGAGGTAGAATTCCACGAAAAAAGCCTTATCTTAATTTTCAGCAACGAAAAAAAAAGACTACAGTGGGCAAAGGAACACATTAATTGGACAGATGATCAGTGGTCACAAGTTATATTGAGTGATGAATCTAAGATATCCTTATTCGCTAGTGATGGGCGAAAATATGCAAGACGTAGAATAGGAGAAGAGCTACATCCTGACTGCATTCAAGCAACCATGAAGAACAAAGTTAGTGTTATGATTTGGTCATGCATGTCAGCAGATGGCATTGGTAGCCTTCATGTCATCGATGGGACACTGAATGCCAGAAAATACATTGACACTATTCTAGAACCAAAATTTCTACCTTCCATCAGAGATCTCTTTTCCAACAATGCTTCGTTTATTTTTCAGCAGGATTCTGCTCCTTGCCACACATCCAAAATATCGCAAGAGTGGTTTCGTACAAAGAGCATTAAATTGTTGTCATGCCCAGGAAACAGTCCTGATCTCAATCCTATCGAAAATTTGTGGCACCGTTTGAAAACTCTTGTCCGAATGAGGCGCCCGTCAAATAAAAAGGAACTAATTGAGGCTATAATTGTTCCCTGGCATCATGTAATAACGGAAGAAGAGCTTAAAACTCTTGTCAGCTCAATGAAATGTCGATGTGAAGCTGTAATAAAAAATAAAGGGTACCCTACTAAGTACTGATAACTCACTGCAATCATCACTATCTAATGTATATCAATAACTATTATCGTTAACTTTTTTTTTTGTATTGCAAATAATTGAATTTTGTGTTTTGTACTGAATTCAGTAATAAATTCTCTTTAAAATGATATATACAAGTTTGCATTTTGTCAAACTTAACATTTTCATACTTGCCAACCTATGACACTCAAAAATCAGGAGATGTTTTTAAGAAATCGGAAGATTTTTCACAATGTTATAAAGACTTTTTAAATGAGGAAAATATAGTTTTTAATAATGAATTAACTTTAAATAGTAACTAATTCTTAAATGCAAGCAACAAATACCTTACACATAAAAAACATTTTTATTACTTGCATCGTTTAAAAAAACAAACAAACAAAAAAAGAAAACCTTTAATCAGTTTTCGTACAAATGGTATAAACAGTGGCAGATTTTGCTTTCTTTAAGAAAGAAACTTAATAATTTTGTTCATAGCAATTGCCACGTAGGCCTGCTTTCACTAATAAAAGTTTTCTAATGTGTCATCACTAATATTAGATCTAAATTTAGTCCTCGTTTTCGCAACAACACTGAAAATCCTCTCACACTCTGCATTACTATGGGGAACTGTCAAGATGGCCAACATAATTCTAGACTGTTCACTATATTTTAAAATTCCATCAGCATCTTTCAGTTTTCCAATTAAACTCCACTGGGTGTCAATCCTAGCTGATTTTATAACTTCATCCAAGTTTTTCTAATTGTAAACTGCTGTTATGCAGCTGTTGGACCTGTTTCAATTTGTCCTCCTTTTTAGAACTCCTTTCAAGATAATAATAAATATCAAAAATGTGTTCATCCACATTTATTGGTAAAGAAGCTACTCCTTTTTCAGCTGCTAAATTTAAGAGGTGACAGGTGCACCTCATAATCTGCAAATCTGAATTTTCTTTTCTGAAGATGCCTGCAACACCAGTCTTCAAGCCTACCAATACTGGTGCATTATCGGCACCAAGTGCTAAGCAATTATCCAGAGGGACTGCATTTTCTTTTAAAGTTTTAATAATTAGCTGTGCTATGTTAAAGCCTGTCAAATGTCCTTCTAAAGTGGGGACAGAAAGTAAACTGCACTCAATTTCTGAAGACTCTGGATTAAAAAAAGAAACAACAATTGGATACAGTTTTGAATCAGTATTATTGCTTCCATCCGTTGAGAGGCAGAACGGAGCTATTTTAATGCAATCAATAACTGAAGATTTATTTTTCAAATCCATTTCTTAACAATTGCACCTCTTTTGGTTCTTGCACTTAAGTATTTCTTAGCGATTTCACTATCGGGAAACATTTTTCTAAATAAAGCTGCAGCATGAACCAATGCATTCAGTGGCAGGTTGTGCTCCAGTAAAAAGGCAGAGAACAGACATTCTGCATTAATAACTTTTTGGTCCTTTGTTTCCAAAGAAAAAAGGTCTTTTGTTTCTTTTTTTTTTTTTTTTTTTTTCAAAACAACTCATGTTGCCCTTGTGTTTTTGTGTAAGCACATGTTTGAGAACATCCGCCCTTCCACCATGCGAAATCGAAAAATCGCAACGACAGGCGGTACACGTAGCAAATTTATTACATTTCCTTGAGGAAATAATGGAAGGAAAGTCAACTGTGTACGATTTTTGAAACGTACACTAGTATTTCACCTTTCTCGCAGACATAATAAAAGATGATAATTTCTAAAACTATTTCCCGAAGGCACGTGTATTCACACAACTCAGGACAAAATGACCGAAATAACTAAAGAACATCCAAATAACAACTTGTTTTGTCCTCATTGGCTAATATATGCCAGATGACATGCAGTGGAGCACGATGCCCATTGGAGAACTGGAGAAGGACGTTTCTGGATACGTATATGCTCTCACTCACAATACAGAAGTTATCTAATTCGCAAGGTTTTGTTTTAGATATAGTCTAGACGAAATTCATTTGCTTCGGACATCCAAAATCACTTTTTTTGTTCACATAACAAAGTATTCAGCCAAGTTCCATAAAAAATCGTGAGTAATTTTAAGAATAAGAAAAAGTCGGGAGAAATATATTGTAAATCGGGTTGGCGGGAGAGCGGTCGAAAATCGGGAGTCTCCCGCCTAAATCGGGAGAGTTGGCAAGTCTGCATTTTCTATAAGCATACAAAGTTCAAAAACATAAAAATTTCCAAAAGTGTCCACAATTTTGGCCACCACTGTAAGTGCTCTGTAAACCCGAAGCAATGAGCAACAGTTTGCGTCCCAGGAAGTGTTCACCAGGACTTTTAAAAGATTCAGTCTCTTCAAAAAGTTCTTCCTTTAGGTGCAGGATGTGTGGAAGGAAAGCCAATTTTTGGCCGAACATCAATCCTAAAAATTTTACTTCCAAGATATAGTTCAAGGTCAGGATGAAGGTTACGCTTTCTACAAAACGTACGCATACAGTCTTCTGTTTTGAAAAACTAAATCCTTCTTTCTTGACCACTGCTAGATTCTATTAAGAGTGATCTATAGCTGCTTCTCTACATATCTCATGCCTGCACCTTGACAGCATATGTGGAGGTCATCAACATATAAAGAACCTGAAACCGAGGGAGAAAGTTTTTTTCAGAATAGAGTTAGTTTTTAAGCTGAACAAAGTAACACTTAGTGTACACAGCCTTGAGGCACACCCTCTTCTAAAGAGAATATATCAGAGACTACAGAGCC